TTACCCCAAAGGAATTGCAGGAGCGGCTGCACAGCGGCAGCCGGTCCTGGCGTGATGACATCACCAGGGAGCTGGAGGGCCTGCTGCGCTCCTGCGAGTGGCGGCTGCTGTGCCAGCAGGCACGCATGGGGGTTGAGGGGGCGGCGCGGCGCCGGCGAGCGCTTTTCGGGGGTTTAGGGCCGGGGCTGTGGGAGGAGAACGCGGCCCGAGCAGGGGGTGGGGGCCCAACAAGGGGAGAGCAGCTGGGCGCGTTGATGCCCGCGCTACTCATCGGGGCGGTTCTCTGTTGGTGTGCGGGGCCTGCACCCTGCTCCATGCTCGCGCCACCTTGGTCGCCGCACGGGCCGCCCTCCCCGTCAATCATGTATCCCCTGCGCCACGCGGGGCTTTCTGCGTGGCCCGCGCCACCGCTTGCTCACCCCACGCCAGGTGCTGCCGCTGATGGGGGAGGCGGAGCTGCTGGGCCTGCTGCGCACCCTGGGCGACCGCCACTTCTCGCGCCGCACCGGCCGCGACCTGGCCACCCGGGCGGCCGCCGCCGGCAGCGGGGGCAGCAGCAGCGCCGACGCAGCGGGCGCTGCGGCCGCAGCGGCGCCGCTGGTGCTGGCGGGTGTTGTGTGGCGGGACATCCGAGATGTGCTGCTGGCCAATGCGCTGTTGGTGAGGGGCGGGGCGTTGGCGCGGCTGCTGGCGCAGGATGAGGACGCGCGGGGAGAGCTGCGGGCGCTGGAGCGGCTCAGCGGCGACCTGCACGGCAGCGGCGGCGGCGGCGGCGGCACGGCTGGCGGCGGCGGCGGCGGGGCTGGAGGCGGCAGTGGGGGCGAGAGGCGCGGGGGCGCCAAGGAGGGCGGACGAGGCATCGAGCTGCGGCAGCAGGTGGGCCAGCAGGCGGGTCCTGAGCGTGGCAGGCAGGGGTGCAGCACAGCGCTCCGTCAGGCCGGCAGCCCGTGGCGCTTGCGCGGCAGGTTTGCTGCATCCGCTGGTCTGAGACGAGCAGGCCGTGTCAGCTCGCGCCGCCCCGTACATGCCGTCCAGCATTCCCCTGTCCCTTGCCAATCAGCCGTCCCCTCGGCTGATATTTTAAGCGTTCTGACCACGCCCTCCGTGAATCCTGACGCCCCGCAGGCCTTCCTCAGCAGCCTGGACCTGGCATCCCCCCGGCAGCGGCTGCTGCTGGCGCTCGACGCCTGGACACTGCGGCTGCACCTGCTGCGCCTCCTCGCGGCCGCTGGTGGGGGCCGGCAGTTCATGGCCGATTGGATGGCGCGGCTGGGGTGGCGCTGGGAGGCCTGCGGCGGCCGGGCCGGTGGCGGCGGCGGCGACGGCGCGCGCGGCGGCGACAGAGATGGGCACGAGGCCAGCCGCGACGGAGGGCGCGGGCCGGATGTCAACCCCTCAGGGATCGGCGCGGTCGAGCCGGCCGCCGGGGCGGCGCGGGACACCGCCGCGGGGCGCAGCACTAGCCCCGCGGACGGTGCGGCCGAGGGCCGGCCGCGTCTGTCCCGCGGCTCTGCAGCGAGCAGCGCGAAGCGCGGCCGCAGCAAGAGCAGGAGCCGGAGCAGAGGCAGCAGCAGGAGCAGCGGCAGCGGCAGCAGCAGCAGCAGGAGCAGATCAAGGCGGAGAAAGAAGAGCAAGAGGCAGAAGAAGAAGAAGCGGCGCAGCAGGCGGCTGCTGGAGTGGTCCCCCAGCCCCAGCCTTGGGAATGGCAATGGATTAGAGCCAGGAAGCAGCGGCGGCAGCGGCGGCGGCCAGGTGCGGCGCGCGAGCGGGGGAGGGGTGCGACTGAGGTCGAGGGAAGACGATGTGTTCAGAGTTTGGCCGCCCGACAGCGGCGGCGGCGGCGGCGGCGGCGGGGGTGCGTGCCTGGAGGGGTCTGCGGCGGTGCTGGTGGAGGCAGCGGTGCAGTGGGCCTGCAGGCAGTGGGTGCGGCGCGCCCTGGCGGTGCAGCGGCGGTAAACAAAACCAACAGATGGAGGGTTCAATTCAAGGGTTGAGGCATCAATGGTGCAATGGCTTCCAGTGTTCTTTACAGTCATGGCCGTGGGGCCAGCCCGCTATGGGAACCAGCCAGTGCGTGTATGACCGTCTAAACATCAAACATGCGACTGCGCCCATTTCTTCTCTGGACGGTTGCCTGCACAGCATGTTCCAGCTGCCACGTTCTCAAGTACATAATAAAAAGGTCAAGCGACAGTCAGGCGTTGCCACGGCTCAAGAGATAGACGTGGCAGTCGCGTAGGCCGCGCGCGTGCGGGCTCGCGCCGCGCGCACGTATTGTCACCTGCCCAGCTGCTGCAGCTCCCCGATGGCCTGCGCCACGAAGCGAATGTGGGCGCGAACCTGCGCCGCGTCATCAATGCACTCGTCAACCTTGGCCTGGGGGCGGGGGCAGAAAGGAGGCCAGGCAAGGCGCGTGAGGGCAAGGTACAGGAGGGGTGCGGGGGGCGCCCCCGCAGCGCGCTCCTGTCAAGGCGCCTTGAAAGGAGCAAAGGGCCTGGGCCCCCGACGCTGGAGCCAACCCCGTGCACACCCGCAGCCCCTGCGCCACCGCACGCCCCACGCTGCTCCCACCGGCAGCGCTGCCGCCGACGCCGCCTGCACCCCGCGTTCCTCGCATGTGCGGCGCAACACACGTGCGGGCACACGCATGCAAAACGCGCCTGCAGGGCCTCCCGGCGCCGCTCCGCCAGCTGGGCAGCTTCCTCCAGGGTGCACTCCACGTGGAAGCCCAGGCCGACGGCCACAAACAGCCGCGACGCGTCCGGGACGCGCGCCTGGCAGAACACGCCCGACCCCAGGTCGACCAGGGACTTGAGCTCGCGGCGGCCCTCCTGGGGTGTTGGATTGTTGAGTTGCAGAGCGAGGGGGGCCGATCAACCGTTGTCAACCCGCCCAGAGTTGAGGAACGTTTTCACCAACACCCAGCTGCTGCTCAAATGGTGCGGGGCTCGTCCCGCCACGCGGTGCGGGCGGGCGCGCGGGGCCCGCGCGGGCGCTGGGCCGGGCGCGTGCGCCGCGACGGGCGGGAGCGGGCGCAGTACCCCCCACGCGGCCTGCGCGGGTCCCCAGGCGGCCGCGCACCGCCTGCAGCGCGAGGACGCCGCGCCGCAGCTCGGCCAGCTCCTCCCTTTCTGCCTCTAGTGCCGCGCGGCGCCTCCCTATGGCCGCGAGCTTCTTCTTCAGCACATCTTCCACGAATGACTCGTAGTCCAGGACCTTGGACTGCAGCTCCTGGGCGCTGAGAGCGCGCGCCCTGCCGCCGCCGGGGGCTGCCGCGGCGGCGGCCATTTCCGGGTCTGGCGCGGCCTTGCAGCGCCGGTTGGAGTGGGTACCGTGATGCAGTGCCCGCTTATGTGGGGGAGCTGCTGATATGGTAGGCGCTGCAGCGAAGGCGGCACGGCACTGGAGTGAAGCGCGTCACCAGCGCCGCTCCGCAATTATCACCGCCAGGTGCGGCTGCTACGTGCTGCTCTGGGATCAGTCGTCTGAATTTGGTTAAACTTATTCGCGGCTTTTGCAATGCGAGCGTGGCACGTAACAGAGGAAGCGCTGGATCGGGATCCGATCTCTTGATCTGGAAACTGCTTTCCGACCTGAACCGCAAGCAATTGACTGTCAAAAGCTTCGTGATATCAATTGCAGCATCACAATGACACTTTTCTTTACGCACCGTACCCGCGCGCGGACGGCTTGCACACACAACTGAATCGCGGGGCATCCAAGAGTTCTTATCTGCCTAGGCAAGCGGCGAAATAAAGAGTTGGTCACATCACTCGGACGCCTAGACGGCTTAGGATGGCAGGAGCAAGTTTCCCAAGACCCAGCATCACGCGTCAATGGCAAGAGCGGCGCTGTGCCTGTGGCTGGTCGTGTCGGCACTTTCACTTGCACCTACTGGATATTGTGCAGCGCAAGGACTCCCAGATGGTTTTCCGGAAACCTTGTTGGGTGGGTCACTTTGGATTACACACGCCATCTCTCGCGCTGCATGTTCAGCTGGGTGCGCACCTCGGTTGTGAGCAAAAGCTTGCCTGCGAGATTCTTCGTGTCACGTGCTCGTTCCAGCACGCAGGTACAACCAACCCAGGCGCGGCGGCACAGCCCAAGCTCCTGAACCGCCCAAAAGCGGCTGCCGAGGCGGCAGGCAGCGGCGCGGCCGATGGCCTCGCGGGGCGCACGTCGCCTGGCTCGGGCGGCGCCGCGGTTGGCGACGGCGCATTCCAAATCTCGGGTGAGGTCGGGGCAGGCGCCGGCCGCTTTGAGCTGCTGGGTTTGACTGCACAGCGATTTTGTGTTGCTGGAGTGAACCGGCCTCTGCTTTCAAGGCTCCAAAAATGATGTATGTTCCACAGGCAGCTAGCAGACTCCAGTCGCCACCACGCAAACACGCAGCGCCGAGCTCGAGGTCTGGCCCGGCCTGGACTGCATGTCGCACGCCTCTCACGCAGGCTCACCCTTCACCTTTGACGGGTTCCCCTTTGGCTTTGGCGGCACCTCGCCTGTCGACCGCGGTAAGGGGCCCCCAAGCGCCGGGCGCCTGGCTGTGGTCGCGGTGTGGGCATGAGGGTGTGAGCGCCCAACGGGCGTGTGCCTTTAGTCCCTGTTGGGGGGCAAGCTTTTGCTGCCTAGAAGCACAGGCTGCCGCTCTTGCAGCCTTCGTTGAACCACAAACGGTCTTGGTGTGGCGCCCGTTGTCGGTCAACCGGCCATGACTCTGTGGCACCTGGTGTGACCGCCGAATCCCGGTTGCACCGTGGCCCCCGCTGCGCGCTCGGCCCGCCACCTTTGCGCTGTATCTGCTGCCCTGCTTCCAAAACTTCAGGCATTGATGGGTTCACGTATGTCGTGTACGATGCCCTGTTCAGGAACACGCTGAACAGGTGGGGGGGGGCGGCGGCCCGCTCCACGCCCGCATCTCAAAGTGCTATGCGTGTGCCACCTTTCACACACGGACGGGCAGCAGGGGGCCTGGGATGGGCAGGCCGGGACAGGATGGGAGCAGCAGGAGCAATCTGCACCAGAAATTTAGACCCGGGCTCCCTGGCTCCCTCCTGAAAGCGGGCTGCAGCTGGGCTGCTCAAACCCAATCTCACGTCAATCACACCTTTGCGTGCGGCGTGCGCCCCCAACCGTGCGTGAGAGCGCAGTGGCCTGGGGTACTACCTGGGGGCCGGCATCCCGAATGACGTCAGCCTCACCAGCTTCCTGCCGCCAGAGGCCCAGGTGAGGCGCCGGCTGCCCCGTCACGCCACGTCATGAGAGCGGCATGAAACATGTCCACGTGTATGCCACGATGCAGCCCGACAGCCGCGCAGTTTCCGGAACCCATTGCGCCCGGAAGGCCACAGCAACAGGAGGAACACCACCAGGCCCCGGCTGACGCGCCGCCTGGTCGCGGGACCGCGGCGCGCGCTCCCAAACGGCCCAAACCCCCACAGCACGCGCGAGCAAGCTCGTCCGCGCGTCTGTCTCCCCCTCGCGGCGCAGCGCTCCATATCGCGCGACGTGGTCAGCTGGTTCGGCCTCAACCCGCGGGAGGCGTACCTGCGGGAGTTCCTGTCGCGCGCGGCCGGCGACACCGGCACACCCGTCCCCTCTGGCTGCGTGGTGCGCGCCCCGCTGCCAGCGCGGCAACCGCTGCAGCTCCGCGCCACGTGCGGCCCGCCCGCTCGGCGCGAGCAGCATTTTGCGATCGGCGCCGCCCAGCGTGTGCCATGTTGGGGACGCCGGCGCTCCGCTGATCTGCCCTTTCAATACTTTCAGTTCTCAAACATAACACAAGGGGCTGTCTCTAAAGCCACGTGCTCCCCTTCAAATGGGCCGGCCCAACCGCCTCGCACGCCTGTCCCTGACCAAGGACCCTCAAGCAACCCAATTG